CTGACCACGACTGTATATATATATATATATATATATATATATAAAATGTATAATTTTTTTCCATTTATACTTATTACTATTATTGTATTGCACTACAAAAAATAGAATAAAAATTAAATTAAAAAAAAATTACAAATATAATATTTTGATATTAAATATAGCATGTTACACAGTAGGATACATCAACAGTCTGGGCCCAAATCCTGTGTCTGCACTGCATGAAATGCACAAGCACACGCAAACACAAATTATCACCTTCGCATAGGAAGACAGAATTACAAAATGACACATTTGCGGGGGAGCAAGAGAAAAAAAAAAACAGTATCACACTTAAACACACACGTATTGCATCATGAGCTTCTCTCCATTACCCCATCAGCTCAGTTACACAGCCAGGCGTCATGTTTCTGATGGGGTGAGGGAGAGAGACAGCGTTCCCGCATGCTCTCGCAAAGGCACGAACCTTTACACGCAGGAAACGATCGACTCAGAAAGCTTGTTAGTGTTATTATTTTAATTATGTTGATTGCTGCCATATCCACTCCAGCAGTTATGAGTCAGAGGCAGAGGCACGATTGGACGGCTCTCGCTCACTCCGTATTGCTATCGAGGTGACAAACACACACACATAGACAGCAGAGCTGTGTAAATCAGTCGCTAACGGATGGCTACAGCACACAGTCTCACAACGGTCTCCGTTAAACACACTGTTTGACATGTTCTCGCCACAGAGTGGAGAGAAATAAAAGGGAGAAAAAAAACATGCAAGCCAGAAATAACCCTAGTTCTGACAATTCTGGACGTAAAAACACCCTCCACTTTTATTTGAATCAATAAATACAGTCGCACAGAACTGCTTTAACAATAAACCACTCATAGCAGGAGCTAAAGGGTTTGTAATGATGACATTTCAGAATACGAGAGCGCTGTCTTTCTATGCAGCGGCAGTCGGTGGCTCAGTCTGCAGCCCTTTGCACACTGCAGGCTTAATGTGATACAGCAAAGTCTAATTATATTAAATGAAAAAAGTAACCCCAGGCTAAAATCCTCACAGCTCCAGGGCCTGAACACTTGAGGGAAATGGATACTAAGACTCAAACTCTGAAATCATCTGCTAATGAACATGCAGAGGAGAAGAACTGCCAATACACAGGACACAGTAGGATCTGCTGAGTTATTGAGGAGTTAGCTGACGTGTGTGTGAGTAAAAAAGAGAGGTGAGTGATGCCTTTGCATGTACATCTCAATAAAACAATCATCTTAGTGAAAAATAATAAGATCGATCATAATGATTGCATATGTTTAATCTTTAAATTTGACAGAAAACAATGCAAATATGCCATTTACAACACATTTAACTGCCATAACCTGACATATTTCAGAGTAAAGCAGAATATTTAGTCTTCAAAAAATTCATATCAGCTATCAGGATTTGTTCATTACTGCATTAGTTACAACTACTTTTTCCCGCCCACATGGCCTAGGTTATGTCAGCAAAAAATGTTTCAGAGGTCTATAAAGCTATTAACCATTGTTAAAAGATGCATACTTAACATCAAAGTATCAGGTTTATACTGCATGTTTTTTGAGCTGATGCTAAACAAAATTTGATAATATGCATGCAAGTCTTGCGTGAAAAATGTCATACTTTGAGCTCTGACGAATCCCAGCTATAAAATATATGCATATACAGTATACAATATACAATATACAGTACTAGGATTTTCTAACTGGTATCCACACTGTAGGGGTTCACTCCTGCCAACTGTCTATTTAAATGTGTTTTATTATATATATATTTTTTACAATGTATTGGACAAGAAACATTATTCATTGCATTGTTGAAAAATATAATGAAACAAATGTAATACCTGTCAAATTTTGATTTGGTCAGGAGACCATATTAAATTAATTAGAAAGGATACGATTAAGATTAATTCAAAAAAGGAATT